ATCGTCCCATCAGCCTCCTCAGTTGCCTGGGGAAGCTCTACGAGCGGCTTTTATTAAACAGGCTCAATTCCAGATCTTATGAAATTTAGTAAGATAATACCTGTCTACAAAAGTGGTGATAAAAATGATCCAGGCAACTATAGACCTATTTCCATATTGCCATCTCTTAGTAAAGTTTTTGAAAAGCTAATATTAAATCAACTTTTAGTTCATTTTAATGTGAACAAATCTTTCACGATGAGCAATATGGATTCACTAAAGGCAGATCGACAACAGATGCGGGCGTCGCACTTGTCAAACATATTTATAACGCCTGGGAAAGGTCACAAGATGCAATAGGTGTCTTTTGTGACCTTTCAAAAGCCTTCGACTGCGTTGACCATAAAACTCTCCTTCAAAAGCTAGAATATTATGGCATTCGTGGCATCGCCCTCAATCTCATTGCCTCTTACCTTAGTAATAGAATTCAAAAAGTATCTATAAATGATGTTAATTCCGCTGGGTCGCAGATGAAAATGGGAGGATCAATCTTGGGCCCATTATTATTTTTAGTATATATTAATGATCTCCCCTTTTATGCCAGTGGGTTGTGTGATGTTGTACTGTTTGCTGACGATACATCGCTTATTTTTAAAGTTGACCGAAACGTATTAAATTATGACGACGTGAATATTGCACTTTCACATATCCTCCACTGGTTTACTTTTAATAATGGTATTAAATGCCAAAAAAAACCAGATGTATTCTTTTTACCCTTCCCAGTATAAGAAGGAAAAGTTTTAGTTTAATATTAAATAACGTACCCATTAATCCAGTTGAGTCTGCTATATTTCTGGGAATTACAGTAGATTCAAAGCTCCAGTGGAGTTCCCATATATCATCTCTTGCGAATAGGCTGAGCTCCGCGGTTTTTGCGATTAGAAGGGTTAGGCAGCTAACAGACATCGACACTGCCAGACTTGTTTACTTTAGTTATTTTCACAGCATCTTGTCTTACGGCATTTTGTTGTGGGGTAGTGCATCAGATATAAATTCTATATTTATTCTTCAAAAAAGAGCTGTCCGAGCAATCTACAATATCGGAGCCCGGAATTCACTCAGAGATCTTTTCAAAGAGGTTAATATACTCACTGTTGCTTGTCAATACATTTATTGTAATGTTTTGTATATACGTCATAACCTTAATTATTACCTAAAGAATAGTGACAGACATAAAATAAACACTAGAATAAGGACAAACTTACTACGCCATTGTTTCGTCTACAAAAAGTAAATAAGTCGTTCATGGGGCAAAGTGTGCGCATGTATAATAAAATCCCACAGTCGATATTAAGTCTGCCGCTTGACCAATTTAAATGTAAAATTAAAAATCAACTGATGATTAAAGCATATTATACCATTTCGGAATATCTCGACGACGCCAATGTGTGGAGTTAATACTGTTGATACTCACGTAGGCTAGAATAAGACTATTATACCTGTATATTATATTGTACCCTGATATTTTTGAAAAAGAGCAACTGTTGAGTTTCTTGCCGGTCTCTTCTCAACAGAAACCGCTTTCCGAACCGGTGGTACCTTACGAACCTATACACATAATCTTTGATGTAAAATTTGACAATTCATAAGAGCGCGCAAGCGTCTATTTGAATAAATATATTTTTGATTTTGATTTTGATTTTGAATGAACACGTGTTTACCAACGGCCTTCTGCCGGCGGAACAATTCGGCTTTCGAGCTAGACATTCCTGTCCCGATCAACTATTCCGCCTAACGGAACATATCCTAAAAGGCCTAAATCACCCTAAACATATACATGTACAGTAACATATATATGTATATGTCACATCTTTATAATGGTCCTCGCGAATGCAGAAAGTTGGGGCAAGTATCCCTTTATGGCCAACCGCTCCCCTGGGAGAAAAATGTCAAATACTTAGGAGTCACTTTCGACTCGCGTATGTCATTTACTACGCACATTAATAACGTTCGTAATAGTGCCGCGTTCGTCTCCGGCCGGCTACACAATTTAACTAATGCTAAAAGTAAAATGCCCTTAAGGCACAAATTATTATTATATAAGACCTGCGTACGACCTATTATGTCCTACGCATGCATGATCTTCGCCCACACGCACCCTACTCGCTTGTACAAGCTGCAAATAGTACAAAATAAGTTCATCCGCCGTGCAACCGGTGCGCAGTGGTATCAACGCAACGTCGATCTGCACAGCGATTGCAGACTCCCGACGATTCGTGAATATTTTAAAGACCTGACCAAACGGTTCTTCGATAGAACCGAATATCATCCCAACCCTCTGGTGGTAAGCGCAGCAAATTACCAACCCGACACAAACGCGAACGTCAACAAGCGTCGCCCGCGAAACGTCCTCATAGACCCGGTTGAGGAAGGGGACTTAGATACGCCGGACCCACCGCCGGGGGTCCCGCCGGACAACACTACACCCACAGTTAGTGCAACAACAAACACACTAGTTCGCCCTCGCCTCCGAGCACGGCGAGACCAACACAACGCGTACACAAGGTACACCCGTGTTCCAGGGCGGTTCTCACCGCCCCCAGCCACCGATTAGCTAAAAACACAGTCGACGGCCATCGGGGTCTCGGTCCGCACCGCAACTTCGATGGCCCTTAGACGACATGTCGTAGATGAGCACATGCGCGGCCCTACCCACAGCGGAGGGCCCAAACCCGTGGGTTCTGGCTAGCCCACCGGTTCTGCGTCAGATGAAGCTTTAATAGTCTTGGGACTGAAAGCAAAAACATCAGTTAATACAAGATACAAGATACAAGATTTTTCCTTACAAAAAACAAAACACACTTCAAATAACTCACACACTATACATTTTCTATTTGATTTGGAGGACTTCCCAATTGTATCTAGTAGAGTCCAGGGGCCAATACCAATGAAATAAATGAGGGACCGCATAGGAGCCAAACAGAACAAAAAGCATTTTTAAAATCGGAATAAATGTGCATGTGTGAATAAATGTGCATGTGTGTATCAAATTTATACGAAAATTCAAAACATTTTTTAATAAAGTTTATTTACATTTCACTAACGTATGTAGGTGCTATTTTATTCGATCTTATAGGTAGGGACATGATCCCATTGCTATAAAAATTCTGGGACTTCTGATCAAAAAACCGTGGCAAGTGGTTTTGGCAGTCCTCTCGTTATAATAACCTGACACTACCTAAAGAATTCTGAAGAGACCGAAACAAGTGGAAATCTGAAGGTGACAGGTCAGGACTATACGGCGGATGCTTTAACACCTCCCAGTCAAACTCTCTTAATTTTTGCTGAATGGCTAAAAATGTATGATGTCTAGCGTTATCATGATAAAAAACCACACCCCTTCTGTTGATTAATTTCCGCCGCTTTCTCTCAACTTCTTCCTTTAATCTCATTAGTTGTTCGCAGTAGTGTTCAGAAGCAATGGTCCTGTCTGGCGGTAACAGCTCATAATGAATAATGCCCTTCCAATCCCAACATATACACAGCATTACCTTGTTGCGAGATAACCCGAGTTTTGCTAGAGTCTGTGAAGCCTGACCTGGATTTGACCACGACCTTTTTCGCACGTTCTTGTCGTACGTGATCCACTTTCCATCACCACTTATCAGGGTTTTCAAAAATGGTTCGGTTTCATTTGAGTACACTGGTCATTAGCTTTCTTCCAGTGAGCCTCATCAGGCACTCAAATATCGAGCTTTTTTGTGTACCCAGCTTTTTTCAAAGGCACCAAAACTATTTTGTGGTCAATTCCCAGCTTCAGCTAAATCGTAACTACTGATATGCCGATCTTGCTCCACTTTTTCAAAAAGGGCATCCATTTTATCCGTAACACGGGCGCCCAGAGCGAGGTGCACACGGTGTACTTTGACATCAAAATTTCTGGATTGAAAAGGCTTAAACCAAATTTGTGCTACTCTCACAAACAACTGCACTAAGTCCTTAAATGTCACAAATTTTTTTCACGGATTACATTGCATTTTTACCTTTCTGGTAGTAAAATTTTAAAATGTTCATTAGAATCACTCATCTTAACAGTAAGAAAAACAAATGAAAATCACACATTTTCCTAATTTTAATTAGGATTTATCTTTTTTAATATTTAAACTTTTAAATGATGCCAAAACCAGCCAGATAGAAATGATATAGCCAAAGAGATTATATTATAAGTACATACTTACATATTTGCGAAAAGAATTTTGCCCCAACCTAATATAGGTACATATCATTTATTTAACCATATATTATGGTCTGTAAAATAATGATGATTGTAAGTTTATATAAAGTTATAAAAAATCGATCAAGTGCGAGTCGGATTCGCGCATGAAGGGTTCCGTTCCGTTTAAGCACAATATAAAATGTAGCACATGCGGGCGGAGCCGCGGTCGAAAACCTAGTCTTAACGAAATTTAGATAAATCGAATTCTGAGTCCAAATAAATGAGCATTAAATGTTAAAAACATTTAATGCTCATTTATCTTGGGTTGCTTTAATGGCTCTTTCACCATTGCCTGACCCGTACCCTAAGACAAGCTCGCACGTCATAAGCGAGACAAGAGCAGTATCTGAGTTTCTTACGCCGGTTCTTCTCAGGTCAGTGGCTTTCCTTCCGAACCGGTGGTAGAGTTTTTTGACTATCAATAAGTAAGTGTATGCTTCTATATTGAATAAAGACTTGGACTTTGTATGCAGATAGTGTAAGCTATAAGAACTGAACCGAGCTACGAGGTATATGAGACAATACATTCTATGAATATGACTTACAATGAATTTAGTAATGCTGAAACATTTTAAAATATAACCTCCTCCCTAACTAGTTGATTATTAGTATCAATGCGAGAAAAATAAAATCCCCCCTAATACTAATGACCATTTCTATTTTGAAGACAAAAAGTTGCAAACAATGTGACACACATGGGGTGATTTAAAGTTCCGGAACCTTGAAAACATTTGATAAACAGAAGATGAAAATCGATACGACAAAGTTGCGAGTCAACTTCGCGATCGGCGCCACACACGCCGCTGAACTCCGGCTTAACTTTAACCCACATAACAAAGTTCAATGTAAACACAATACGGCGAAGTTTGCGAGGCGGTTCACGGCCGCGGGGCGTCGCGCCCCCACGACTCGATACCCCTTCGCGGAGTACTCCACCGCAACACCCCCACCCCCCTCCCCGCCCCTGTTCTCTCGAGACGGTGGGATTGCTCTCACTGGGAGGCGAAGTCTCCTGTCTTCGATACTTTCATTCCTACATTACACGTGGATCAGTACACATTGCTCGCGGTGGTGTTTCATGGGCATGGTCTGATTGCGTCAATAAATTAGGTCGACTGCGGACAGACTCTGAATTGCCGCAAAGTTTGGCGAGAGGCAACAGTTCAGGATTGAAGTTATCGGATTGAAGAGACGAATAAATCTTTTTTTCGCCAAAGTAGCTTCGAAACCAGTTACTCGCAAGGTTGCATAACGTGTTGGATTTCCATTAATAAAGAGAAAACAGCATATTTTTTAGAGTGCAAGTTGCTCCAGAATTTTGCAACTGCAAACTCAAGATTTTCTGGGTGTAAAATGAAATTTTGTATGCACTTGCTGTATTGCGTACTCAAATATTGAAACTCATATGTATTTGTTAAATTCACGATAATAGATAATTTATTTATTTATGTCCCTCCCGTTAAGGGCGCTCTTAAAATACAAAAAATACAAACAACACACTGACAGTACTAACTGATTTTTTTTCTCATGTTATGTCGAAGAACATTAAGAAAAATAAGAAAAATCTACAGATTGTATGCTTATTAATGAATTAGGTATATGAGCAAAATTATGTCATAGCCTTATTAGATTTTTTTCAGGATTGTTAAATTGTGACGACACTACATTTTTAAAACCAATTCACACACACACACAACACACACACGTGACTGTGAATCGGTTTTCTTACGAGTACAAATGCAACGTTACTGTCTTTTAAAATGTAGTTTCCACCAGTTCATGACTATAACACTTACTTACTTACTATAACACAAGATGGTTATTATTCTAGCTCTGTGGGGCACGATATACACCTGTCTATATGTGTCCCAGAAAGCGCACCTTATGTCTTATCAAATGACACCGTTTGATACGCGCCTTAGCCTTATCTATCATGTCGAAATTCTTCCACGTACTATCATAATACCTATTCTAATGTACACGTACATTGCACGGTGCGATGTACTACTTCGGCATATGAACATAGTACACAAAGTTGTTTTAGTTTTCATTATGAATCTGTATATTGCTAACAAAAAGCCGACAGACCTGAGCGTAGTACAGAAGTATTTCTGTGTGTAGATTAATATATGCTCAAACTGATAGATTAGCCGTAAGTTTAAATTTGTGTCGATTGCAATAGTTTATTTTACATGATGCAAATGAGAAAATAGTGTAATTATCTATTGCCACAATGATATAACGTAATAAACGGGTATCTCCACTGTAAACAACTCGTCATTGTGATGGAGCCATTGCAAGCAGATAGCGTGGCGAAGGCGACGGCCCCGGTCGAGTGCGGAGCGCCTGCGGCCGCGGAAGCCCTGCCGGTCCCACAGCGGAGCCCGAAGGCGCCTTATCGATGTATTACCGATTGGTGGAGTCGAGTGTTTGCGCTGCTGATACCGCGACGGCGACCAATCGATTTCCCGCCTCGTGAAATCTTATCAACGATCATGGTGGACATTCGTACCTCGTGTCAGTTCCCGATATCGTATCGCGAGATATCATGGAGTGTATAAATATGGGCCCATCGATCGATCGACTCTCTATCGAAGTTCGCTGTGATTACCATTGACAGTGGCCAGTTGTGTGTCCCGTCCGGGCATCGGAGGAGGCTCAGCTTCAGGGTAAAGTTGGAGGTATCAGCGGTCAGTTTTTGTGCCGTGCACTCCTAAGACGCGTTGTTCAATACATTTTTTTTTTTCGTTTTTTCTTGCATACTTGTTAAAAGACCTGCTGACGTGGATATTGGGACAATTAATTTAATTTTATGTCCATTTCAAATTTAAATCTGTTTATGTATTTCAAAAACTTATGGCTAAACAACAATACTATAGTGTTTCCGTAATATTTTTAGATCAATTACGTAATTACAAAATGTATATATTTTATCATTACCGATTGCGCAAAATAATGCTGGCCAAATGTGGCTTCAGGCTAAATAATAATTTTATTGATTTCAAAATAAATTAAATGGCTTATAACAAATGAACTGCGTAGAGCCGCTGACACGACGAGGAAAAGCGTTGCTCTTATCAGAGTACGTTAGCCGCACCTTTTCATGCGGTGATAGCGGGCCGGGCCGCGCGCACTACAATAGTCACGCCGAGCAAACACATAGGCATCGCTCATGTCTCATAATTTGTCCATTTTGTTTCCCAGCTGGTGAGCAGTTCGAGCACGGCTCCACGTCTGAGTTGGACAGGGGATCTTGACAGTTTAATGTGAAACGCTGCCAGATCTATCTTTCCAGCTCACGCGTGGAGCCCCCGACAACGCAACATAAGAAAATCAACGCGACTTAGATAGTGACTTGGCAGTATAGCGTGAAGGATTAAGTGGAGGTGTGATCTCTTCACTTTTTATGCTTAAAGTGAGATTCAACTCCTCCAACTTAACCCTGAAACGCAATATCGACACAGACGAGGAGTTTCTTTCATCTTGAAATGTTATATTCTATATTTGTCTACTACATGTGTTATAATACATAATGATCAGATGTTAAATAAAAAATACTATATTACTTGTTATTTAATTTAAACCCAAGATTATTATTCTTTTACTACTACTTTTATTTCTTCCAAATTTCTTTTTACTTACGAAATGAAACATTGTAAATATTCAATTTAAAAAAGCATGATCATTTTGATAGATCAGAAAAGTTTAATTGAGGTTTATTAAAGATTGAATTTTAGCGCATCTTAATTACTTATGGCTAGCAAAGAGATGGCGCCACTGTGCGCGCATGCGTGTATTATGAGAGACCCAAGCTTCAAGAACTAACACGAAGTACACTGCAAATCACTAAAAAAAATCACAACACACAAACAAAAAAATGAGCAAAAAATTGTTGGTAACACCGGTGCGCTAAAAAAGCTTGCAAACTTCACGCACATAACCTGCGCTGGACATCGACTCGTCCGTATCTAACTCTGGGAAAATGTATATTGATTTTTCAAAGAAAAGTCAACCGATGTAACAAAACACCGTTCGCGGAGTGTTTATACGCGTATTGAAACGTCGCGGTCGATGTGCAGTGTCGTCAAAATGGTGCGACAGTGTTTCTCCGAGCGTTCCGAGTGAGATCGAAGAGTGTGTTGCGTCGCTCGGTTGACGGGCCAGAGCCCGGCCGCGGCCAGGGCCTGGGCGCGCCATGGACGCCGCCGCCGACCCGCTGCGTGCGGCCAGGCCGTGAGTATCGCGTCCGCTGCCTCGTGCCGCCGTGGCTGCTCCGCACGCGTACTTACGCGACGGATTATTTTGGTCCTCGCGATCCCATCCGCAGTTGCGAAACGTTCCGTGCGCGCTCGTTTCTCGCTCCCGCGCGGAGCCGACATTCTCTCGGCCGTGCGGCGTCACGGCCTCCGCTGCGTTGCGCCATTTCGGAGCGCGAGGACACGGCGACGTCGCCCCGCGGAGGCGCCGCCGCCGATAGCGATCTGGCAGCGCAGCGCCCGAGCGTGACCGCCTCCGCTCCGCACACAGACCGCCGTGCATCAATGGCCCGGACGGCTCATAAATTAGAATCGTGTTTACAGTTTTTGTGCGCTCGTTGGAAACCTGTCGCGCCGCCCTTTGTCTCGGGCGGCGCGAGAGGAGCGCTGCCCGTCCTCGCGTTCGCTGGCGCTCTCGAATTGCCGAGTGAATTATGGCTAGGTGCATATACGCTGTGCCCTACACATACTAACGTACGCGCCTACCTACCTATAGTGCAGCGAAGGCTGTAACTACCTAACTACTCAAACAAAGCATTTTGCCCACAAATCCATATCGCAGCCCTAAAACCACCAGCTCTTACGTTTTTTATCAATTTCTTGGCTCTTGAGTGTCGTGTTGTAGTTGTTATGATATTACAGTAATAAAAAACATCAGTGAATTGTCATTCAATAACTTTATAATACATTTTGAGGTTAGGTCGTGATTTCTGCCATAATCGCAAGTTAAACCATAAATGGACGCCTAGATGACTAGGAAAGACGTTCTAAATGCAATGTATGTTTAATTTCGGTGTTATGTGTGCTTAACAAAATGTGTTGTGAGAAAAGTGGTTGACTACATCTGCGGGCACTGTGTCGTGTTTTGCGATTTGTTCAATGTAAAAGTATTTTGATACCATTGGGGCAAATTGATGTTGCTGTTGTTATTAAGTGTTTGAAGTGTTTGCGTTTATCAGTGCCGCCGATTGACCGAAGTTAAAAGTTGGTGTCCCTGCAGCCCATGTGAACAAGCTTCACACATGTTCAGGTGATATGTTTACACATCTCATAATAACTCATTTACATAATGTATAAAACATGCTTTTTCAATTACTTGCTATTATTACTTAACACAATCCTATAGAAAAATGTACATTCAAATTACCACATATATCTTATGATTTCAAAAAGAAAATCAATGAATATAATAGGACTAATCATATACATCTATAGCCAGTCATTTAATCGAACTGTGTTATAATGGTACATTCGGTTGTCATTCCTGAAAGTAATAGCCCATTTCTCAATATTAATTGACTTATTTACCGCTAAGTGATATTAAAGCTAATATCAATGAGTATTCTAGTGTGTTACACATGTTTGTCTTTCATTCATAACAATTTACTACTTACACATTATGCTTTAAACATATTTAAATAGTTAAGCATGATATAAATATATTTTATTAACAAGACGATTGATCAGCTATCTGAACAAAATAATAACAGTGATAAATACTCAATATTTAGATAAGTCTATTATATAGGTTAATAAAATGATTTATAGGAATATATTTTTTATTACACATAAACATAATGTACCTACATATTTAATCATTTTTTGTGTTAATTCTGCAATAGGAATAATTTGTTTATATATATGGACACCTGATTTTGAGATTATATTTAAAACATTATTTTTTATATCATAAGGAGTTCTGCTAAGTAAGTAACATTTATGCATTAAATATATTTAAGTAAATATTGTTTTATTTTGCTATAAGATAGTAAAATAACAGAAAGTTTAATTTAGAACACTATTGTGTCAGCTATTCAGATGCTTGGATATTTTCTATTCTGTAAGTTCATGCTGCTTGTGTAAATCATCAAATCTCATTCGCTTTACATTAATAACATATTTTATAATATTCATATTTACCTGTCATAATGGAATGGAATGGTTTTAGAAATTACACTGCACAGACTCTTTATTAATTCTGATGATTTCTTTCAAGTTTCTACTGGTTCAATCCACAAGTTGTTAGATAATGCCTATTGTATATGACCATATTTCAGTATTAAAATAATCATAATATACATTTTGGCATGTTGTACTCTTGATTATAATCAGTTTCTAACTAAGGATACTTTATTTATCATGCTTTTACTGTATGATTTTAATAGTATTATTCGTACACTACAAATTTTTGCTTCTTTTATCAATAATTGGAATATTGCTTAATAGCTATAGCGTTAAAATGTCAGTTGTATGCATCAGTCAGTAGTATCTTTCTGAAAAATATTCACGGTCTTACATTAAGATCAGTGTTGCCATACATTTCCGCATTGCTTGGGATATTAAAATAATTGATACACAAGCAAAGGCTTTCCATTGTCAAATGGTAACTTTACACAAATGCATTAGATCACTACAGTTACTATACATTCTTAACCCATTGGTTACAAGGTTGGTTAAACACTGCAATTGCAATATGCACAAAACAAATGATTTGACTAGATATATATTGAAGAATTGACTACTATGAAGGGTGCAGAGATACTAATAATATAAATCACAAAAACGGTGCATCATTTTTTGTTTTGTATTTGTATATACATATATACAAGACAAAAACAATTGTAATATAACAACTTGATTTTTCCTCTTGTATTCACTTTTGAGGTAGCTTTATTTTTGTGTCAAATAGTAGAAACTTTTCACATCCTGCTTGTTATTGCATTTCAATGTAAATGTATAATTTATTTCAAGAGAATGAAACACAAAACCTGCTCCCCAGCTCAACTAACTGGCACTTATGCAGGCAGACGGACTCACTAGACATTGACCTCTGGCCCCTGACTCTTGGCAATCCTCTATCAAGTATACACGCAATGTACACATTCAATAGATCCATAAATATTCACTATGGAAATGTATTTTTCATACTTATTTTACTTGTTAATTATGCCTATTTTTATAAAACAAATATCATGCCTAGTGACATACAAAAGCGAGTCTATACTATATACCTACTTTAAAAGACAGCAATACTAACATGTTTGTGAGTTCCCAAGCTAGTGCAAAAAAAAGATAATGATGCCATTCCCCATAAATCTAAGTGATTTAAGACAATAACAGTGAACAATAACAAATTAAGCAATAACATAAAACAATGATGAAATAATAACAAAAAATAAATGTAAAGAGTTATTTTATATAATCCTTGGGAGCATGGGAGCACATTATTTTATTACTGTAAAATTTTAATGATAGATTATTCATAACATAATAATGATAATTTTTATTTAATGATAGGTTATTGTACAAACTACTTGATGGTATATAACATACAAACATCAATAAGTAAAAGTCAGTTATACGTATAAGTGAGAAATCTGAGGTTATTCACCAGCTTTCCTGCACAAATAGACCAACTTGACCAGGATAGTACCACAGACTCTTAGTAGACTAGAGTAAAGGAAAAATATAAATAAAATAATGAATGTACTTGTGTTTTGTCTTGTGTGAAGTATACGATTGGCAACACACCAGCGCCCTTCCTTCATGGACTATGGTCAGCATTCCATACTTCTCATCAGAAGAACTGCTTGCTCATTTGCTATGGCATGCCATCAAAATGAAAAAACCTCTTCTATGGATTGTAAAATCAAATTTTAAAGTGACTAATATATATAATAGACTAATATAAAGTACTAATAACATAATATTGACTATGGTGACATGTGCTACTTCGACCTGAATGCAGATCACCTCAATAAACTCGACCGACTTCTAAATAACTGCATTCAATTAGTTTTCAAAATCTCCGTAAGTATGACCATGTATCTTTCTTCCGTACTCAACTTCAGTGGCTACCTATACGCCAACGACGCTCTCTAAGAGCACTAACTACTTTGTACTCCCTCCTGAACTCGCCTTCTACCCCAACTTACCTATTCCATTATTTTCAATATTTATGTGCTGTCAGCAACAAAAACCTTGGCTCTTCACATATTCGTCTTCGGGTATGTCCATCTCACCGTTCTGACTTCATGCACTCTTCTTTCTTTATCCAGTCCATCCTCCTGTGGAATGAGCTTCCTCTCAAAATCAGGTTGGCTAAAAGTCGCTTTATATTCAAAAGAAAAGTTTGTGAGTACATCCTCAAAAATTTGTCGGCAGATGAACCTCATCATTGAATATCATATATATATATGTATTTGTTATATATTTATGTATTTATTATATATATTGTGTGTATTTATGTATATTTTTAGTATGTATTATGTTTATGTTTATAATCTTATGTACTATATAATTTTAGAATATTACTTATCTCAACTTATATGTATAATATCAGATATGTAGCTTGTAAGTTTCCGTTGTAGTTTATCTTTTTTTTGTCTTTCTGTGCACCTCCCTAATCTTCTCTGTACCACCCTAAGGTTGACTGGGAGATAATGCCTTCAGCATTAAGTCCGCCTTTGTACTTTTAGTGCATAAACGATAAATAAATAAATAAATATATAAGTCATAATTAATTTAATGTTTATAAAGAGTTTGCAAAATACAGAAGGCAATCAAATGCAAGTGTGACATCAGAATTTAAAATGATACTCCAAATATAGTGTATAGTATAGTTAACTTGTGTCAGCATCAGGAAAACTAAATGTATATATTAAGTTTGTTTAACCTAACTGCCTCATAGCACACGCACTAAAAACTTGGCCTTCCGTGTTTATACATTCAAGGTTCAACCCATCTCTGATGATTTGGTGCCACTCAATTAAGTTCTAGCTAATTTGATTATTAACTTCCAAATTGTCTATAGTGTTGTTATAGTGTAGACAATCTGGAAGTTCAGGCTTCATATCAAGGAATAAGTTAAAAATAACAGGTTTTTTTTTAGATATAATACTAAGCCTAAATCTTCACAAACCCTATTTTAAATTTACCAAAATGGCACACAATATTGTAAAAAACTTTTTTTCTGTAATGCAGATATAAAATTTGTTTATTTATACAATACTTTTCTTACTTCTTTGTCCTATTTTTGTGTTAAAGTAAGGATAAATATATATTTATTTAATAAGCTTTTTAGAGTCGCTTTTTTTTAATTTTATCTAGTTTTTTAAAGATTACTATTATCAATTTATCATAATTGTTTTCCCTGTGATTTGCCTGATATTTTATTTAAGGAACTAAGGTTTTTTGTGATTTCTTAAAACTCATGTTGTAAGCCTTAAACAGCAATTAAAACGTCTCTTATAATAATAATATATTTATTGAGAAAAATATGGCGAATATCTTCCGGTGTTTTATGTCCTTTTTTTCAGGGTTTCGTACCCAAAGGGTAAAACGGGACTCTATTACTAAGACTCGGCTGCCTGTCTGTCACCAGGCTGTATCTCATGAGCCGTGATAGTTAGACAGTTGAAATTTTCACAGATGATGTATTTCTGTTCCCGCTATAACAGCAAATACTAAGAAACAGAACAAAATAGTATTTAAGTGGGGCTCCCACGGAATCCTTCGTGCGCGCGTCCGACTCTCACTTGTTCGGTTTTACTCTGTCTGTTCTTTGCACTGTACTTTCAGATGCACCTAAAACAATTATAATAGGTATCTTTATCAGTGGTAGAGCCACGCAGCAGCCTCGGCTGTTGCACGAATGGGCAGGCTCGTCCGGGTGAGTACCACGACCTCACAGAAGACCGGCGTAAAGTGGAAGTATAATACTTTCGCGTTTCGTCTGGTGAGTGAGGTAGCTGGAGCCCAATTTCCAAATAGGTTGTCAACGCATCTGCTTAAGCTCGGGTATAACAGATGTCCATGGGTAGCGGGTATTCACTTAACATCAGGTTAACCGTATGCTCGTTTGGCAAGTTTTCACATAAAAAAAATCAAATTGACAGCCAGATCGTTTATTTTTTTATTTATTTCATAACCTTGGATGCAGTCTTTCAGTCGCAATATTAAAATATAAAGATTACATTGTATATGTTTTTAACATACTAATGCATATATATAACATAGTTTGTAAAACTTAGCGTTCTCTTTTTTAGAAATATTTCCGTGCCCCTACCTAATTTTCTCTACCACCCCAAGGTTGCCTGGGAGATAATGCCTTTCGCATTAAGTCCACCATTATACTATATCTGCATAAAGGGTAAATAAATAAATTAAAATGCGATATTTACAAAACTAAAACCATAGTTATCTATACTATTTATAATAAACTTGAAGACGGATAAAAAAGACGTTAGCAAGTAAACAGCCAAATTAGCATTTACGGGGTTTTTTGATGACGAAGTCGGTAGTTTTCAAATAGTTAATTTCTACTCTTTTGTGTCGAACTATAAACTTTTCATAGGTTTTATTTATTCCAATCGTAATTGACATAATAAGCAGCCAAATTTCGTGCCAAACGTTGTGGTTTTTATTCCCGCGAATTAAAATTGCTTATAATCCTGGTATGGAATTGTTTGGGATCCGAGTGTTTTATCTATGTTCTAAAAAAAATCTTTAAAAAGTTCAATACCAAAAATTGGCTTTACTCCTTGTTTCTTTTGTAAATGATAATGTTCTAGTTCTAGAGGCCTTAGGGCGGCGATCACACATTAAGTCTTCATTAGGTACATGCTAATAGCATGAGCGTAATTTGCTTTTTATATATATATATATATATATATATATATATATATATATATATATATATATTTTAACAAAGTATAAAAAAATGCTGCCGCCTACTGCGTTCGTATGTGTTTTAGACCATTTGGTCCAAAATGATCTCACCCACCATTATATAACAACAACATTAATATCTTTCAGGGAAGTATTATTCAGGGTTTTGCCTTTCAAACACTTTTGGCCACACTTAATTTGTGAGCCTGTGAGACTGCGTGCATCTGCTTAATTGAATAAAACCTAACAAAATTATAGATAAAGTGTGTTTCGGCGTGCATTTAAAATTGGACGTGTCCATGAATTATAATGTAGCGCACAGGTGTCCTTTTACCGAGCACGTTGTAGTGGTAGGAGGGGCGTAGGGGGGAGCGGGGAGGGGGGGGGGGGTTGTGACTGCGGCCGCTGCCATTGTGAGGACTGAGGCTCTTTGTGCGGAGCAGGGAGCTGCCTGCCACGCTCTTTTACGTAACTCCTCAAACTATTCACCTATTACATTAATGCCGCCTCGCATTTCCCACTACATGGTTTTAATTTTTATTTCTTACATCTGTGTGATACTATATGCGCCGTAGGCAATTTCGGCTTTCGAGCTACGATTTTTACTTTTATATAATTAAGAAAAGGTGCAATTTCGCAAAGAATAGGAGTAGAATAAGAAACACATTCATAGTAAATCGAATAATTAACGTTGGTCATATGAATAATATATCGATGTCAAATGTCTCGAAGTGGTAGTGTTTAAATGCTGTTATTTACGTCGTTTTTATAGTGAAACACCTAAAACATTAAAACGTCTATTGGCTGGCCCTAAGAGTCTCCGAGTTAGGAATTCTTATTCGTTTCGACGTTTGAAGACAGCTTCAAAAAGTATAAATATGGTTCCGTGTAAAACAGTTATAATTTGTTTGCAGTCGACGCGTATGAGCTTCCCTCCATCTTATCCTTGATCTGATCGTTTCTTTAGTATGTTTGAATCAGTAATACATTCCGCTGAGCAGACAATGAACTCCTAGATTGAAATAAATTTAACACAATTTCTCTTTTATAAAAATAAGCTTACATAAATGATTCAATATGTTCGTGCTGAATGCTTAACTTGTTCGGTATGGAGTCTGGCGAAACGTCAAACTCGGCTAGGACAGACATTTAGTGTCGTAAAATACTTTAACTCATTTTCTTACTTTACATTAAGTTTACGGTGGTAGGGCCATGTAGCAGCCTCGGCTGTTGCACGAATGGACAGGCCCATCCGGGTAAGTACCACGACCTCACAGAAGACCAGCGTGGAAGTATGGCTAATACTTTCGCGCTTCGCCTGGTGAGTGTGGTAGCCGGAGCCCAATTTTCAAAAGCTTGTCAACGCATCGTATTGCTCGGATGAGGCAGATGGCCGGCGGTATTCACTTAACATCAGGTGAACCGTCTGATCGTTTTCACACAAATTTTCACATAAAAAAAAGAAGAAGAATTCTTTTATTAACGTTATTTAAATATAAGAAGAGTTATTTTATTAACTTTGTTTTGTAGTTTTATCGGACTCAGCTTAGTTTTTTACAATTACCTAATTAAAGCATATTTAATTAATTAATTCTGTATTATGTTGTTAAAAAATGGTTATCTGTTGTGCAAAATTATTTGTCTGTATAATTTTACAGTTGTCGCATATTTTCAACAAAACGTAAAATGAAAAATCTTGGGTAATAATTTGTCCGTCGTATCGACTCGTGACAATTTGCGTAGACAGTATTTGTGTCAATCCTTTCGTTAGAACTCATAACATCTGTTTTGGGGTCAACAACCAGGATTCGAACCCATTCGACACGTAGGCGCGCCCCGCTCAGCTAAACTCGCGTCGCCCCGTCGTTGTACGCTGTACACTGTGTATGTATACATATGTGCATGAGCCGAGCGGCCTGTGCACGTACATGGCGAGTAATCCGAGGTCACGTGAGCAGTTTTACCGAAACCCGCCGTGAAGGATACTGCAGTATCGATCGTGGAAAGGCGGAAATGCGACGACGAGGATTTCGGTGACGCTAGCACCGGAATAAGGACGACGGTGCTAATTCGCTATAAGGTCCAACTGTTCAATTTTGCTCTCAATTCACTAGTTAGGTGATTATTCCGCACGAAAAGTTAACTTTTCCGATAAGATCTGAAATTTGGGCCCATGGATGGAAAACTCGAACTACTCTCTCGTCTGGGTCCATGCGTATGATTAAGAGTTGTGTAATCTGAAATCTGTTGCCATCGGTTTAAATGTTCTAATGTCAATAGAAACTTAGCGTACGAAACCGCTAAAATTTACTCGATTGAGCACTGATTGCATTATCGTTATCTCATTATTCTATATTAAAATTGGTGATGGCATTAAGTCCGCCTCTGTACATATTTTGTGTGCATAAAGTATAAATTAATAAATAAATAAATAAAATTAATAAAATCGTGTACTCGTGTACGTAAGCACCTAATCTTAGCACCACTACTGCCACATATTATATAATCATTGGATATATTGCTAATTGGAAAAAAAATATTAGCCACGCACACTAGGCATGAAATGGTTGATTTAGAACCAATTCAACGGATGCTTATAACGATTAACGCGTCCCCGCCGAGGCATATCCGTTCCGATATCATTCCAGCTCGTGTGCGCAACGGCCTCTCCTACAAAGGAGCCTCGACACTCGAAAAAGCAGCGGTCGCTCTCGTGAGGCCGTCGAGCACCCCGAAGCACGAGTGTGCGCGCAGCTTGAACTTTATGCAAGGATCACGCTAGCCGCTTGCCGTATAGACGCGAAAGTGTGCTGTGTGCACTCACAGCGCGTTCGTTGCTACCGCATGCCCCAACGCCCCGATGGATTCGGAGTGGATGGCTCATACGCCCGATCATGAATCGCACCACACCGGACAGCGGTTATCTTTTGTTGATTGTCCGCCGCTTTACTGTGGTAGAGAACAATAGCAGATTACACAGCAGTTCGGCCTGCTGTACGAATAGGCCAGTTCGAAGTGACACGGTCTTGCGGTGGTTTTTAGTCCGCACTAAGTAGTTGGCAACGCCTGCCTCATCTCTGGTGCCGTGTCCATGGGCGGCGGTCCATACTTACCATAGACTAAACCGCTTGTCCAGATTGAATTAATCCTTACTTAAAGACGAAAGTCTGTATGTATGGATGGATGTTTGTTACTCTTTCACGCAAATACTACTGAATGGATTATAATGAAATTTTACACTATACAGCGTGTCGTTACCATCGCGACAATAAATGAACACACGTCTAACGCTACTTGCCAATAATCATAAAAAAATATTAACGTTAAACAAAATCCATATTTAAAAAAAATATATTTTTCAAACAAACTAATTAAGTAAAAAAGAAACAAAATGTGTAACATCCTATACAACTCGCACCATAGCGTCGCATTACAAGCCTCTCCTTCTAACAGTATGTTTTGTCTCTTTTAAATTCATTCAACCCATTCATATGCTTTGTGACCTTTACAATTGAACTTTACGTTACGCTTTTATAGGTTAGGGTGTTCTAAAATTCTTTGTTTTGGAAAATTTAATAACTCTGTAAATATTGATGTTTAAAGAATTTAAATGTTTAATACAACTTTAATAAGTTATCCCCTATATGTGTGTTCATTTATTGTCGCGATGGTAACGACACGCTGTATATACATCCGAATAACACTTAGGCTATATATATACCCAGCGTGTCGTTACAACCGCGACAGTAAATTTACGAACACGTCTAACGCTACTTGCCTAAAATCATAAAAAAAATTTAAATGTTAATTAAAAAAATATATTTTTTAGACGAACTAATAAAATAAAAAAGAAACAAAATTTGTAACATCCTATACAACTACAACTGACTGATTCATACATTCAGACACTTTTTCATTCGTTGCCGCAGCGTCGCACTACAAATCTCTCCTTCTAACAGTAATCTCTTTCAAATGTTTTATCATATGTTTTGTGACCTTTCAAATTTCCGTTACCGTTTTACACAAGGGTGTTCTAAAAACCCAATCATACTCGGTAAATATTTTTAAAGAATGTAACGTTTAATACAATTTTAAAAAGTTATCCTTATATGTTGTATATATCTGTCTTTTTGTCTTAACGCTACATCTTCAGCTTATTCTACGTAGACGTAGTCGCGGGCAGTAGCTAGTAGTAAATAATAATCACGTTGTAAGCCTCGTTGTTGAAGCTGCGAGTCTGTCATTTAATATAACGATGATCAGGCCATTTCACGAATTGACCAAGGTGAGTTCCCCATTAGAAGGATAAACCTTAATAAGCAAAATTTGTACTCATTTGAAAAATGACCTTTTCTGGAAGATATTTTCTCAAACAACCGGTAACCACTAACAAGGCTTTCCTATATAATAAACACGATAGCTCTTGAACGAGAACATAATGTCATTTTACGCCGTGACGATGTATCTAACGTTTATTCGTTGTTTTTATAACTATTGCGATAATTTTTAAAACAAACACCTAATAGAATAGGTGAAATTTGTGTCGCCAAATATGTATCGTTCACTGTAGAGATATTACAAGTTCATTGATTAAATTGCGCTTCATTCTTCTTTCCCATCATTCCATGTGATGATGTTATTGTTTTATAATGTGACCATGACTAATTAATTATAAGTAGGTAATTGTTAGAATCTCTTTTGCTGCGAATAGTTAAGAAAATGATCAATTAACATAAAATGTTTCGAAAAGAAAAGTGCTACTAAAAACGACGATCAACTTGTCATTTTAATACTGCCGCCAAATGATAAAACTTTAATGAGCTACATTTTACTGTTCAACGGCAATAAAAATTTGGTGAACCCCATTAAACATGGTTAGTTAACTTTATGTATCGGTAGCAGGCCACGCTATGGCGACGTTCTGTTCGCCGTGCCCGGTTTCGTCGTGCTCCGTCATCGCCAGAAATTCACACGCGCAGAATCTATTATACGTGTCTAGCCCAGCGGAATTCACAGAGCGGCGCTCGGATCGTTTCTAGAATCTCGTGATGAGGAAATCCGCGGGGCACAGCGCGCTAGCTACAGATGATTTATGTGGCGTCGTGGCGAGGATATCGGAGAGTCGATATCTCTCTGTTATCTCGCCAGAACTGGGTCGTTGTACTTGATCTTCTGCACCGCACGAAACCGTCTGCCACGCAATATACAAGCGTATTTTTAATGCAATTAGGGCCCTAGTCGCGTGCGGGCGGGGAGTGGCTAGTTTTTTTTTTCGAAAGGGAAAAAACGGGGAGCTGTTTTTGCAACGTTTCTCGCTCCTTTGCATTGCGCGTTAATGTAGTAATTACTTGTTTTGCCACGGACTCGACACTTGAGGATTTTTGGATCGTAATTAAGAGATACATTTTTAATGTTAATTACGCATTTATGACTTAAATACACTTCGGTAGCGTCGCTAACGGCCAAGTGCTTCGTTACTAAATTATCGGTGTTGCTGTTCGATTCTTAATTAGGTATAATTTTATTCAGTAATGTTAAATAGATTTTGTATTTCAGTTTTAGATACAAGAGTAAATTAACCGATGGATACATCAGTTAATTATATGTACAGTTTATACACTATAAATAATTCTTACCTCTCTATGTTATATATTACTTCACACTAAGTATACTTATTCATAAGTACAGTTATTTAAATTATACTGCAAAAGTGTATTAGTCCAAAAAGATATCAGTTATCCTGTTAAAAGGGAAAATATACTTATAAAATGTATATTTTCGTCCAATAGCTAGGTTTTGTATCGTTACATAACATGCTTACTATTCTGGTAGTACACAAATGCGGCTCCCAACAAGACATTGCACTTAGTCGGGCCTGACGAAGCACCTACATCCAAACTTTACACAGATGATGGAAACATTGCGTAAGTTCATTTTGAGAAGGTCCAAGGTACAATTAGCGCTACGCCAGACAGTTGTTATGACTAGACTAGATGTCTGGTTTCAAATTTAATAACCTTTAATTAATTTGTATTGCATTAAGTCTCTCGCAAACGTAATAATGATAATTTTTTTAGTCTCTTGCGGACTGAATAATGGTTGTTAAATAAAGCAACTAGTGCCGTTTACGGTTGTACGGGGACCGCGGCCCATGTAGGTTCTCTTAGAGTAACTAAGAGTTCTCAGCTACCGGCATTATATGAGCCCAAAAACTTTGTCACTCTTTCCACATTGCAATCAGGCGTTCGTTCTTTTTTGTAAACGGGTCGCCGAACTTTGTAAGCTCATAGGAACTTTAGAGGCTTAGAAACTCTTTACCGCTATATCTAAAAGTAACCAGTAGATATTCTATTTTTTAGCTTTACACCGAATCTTTTCATCGCACCCATTTCACGCCACGTTACCATCTTTTCGAGACTTGAGTTAAGGTCGTTTTTTATTTGGCGAGCCAGTCTGTCTGCAGCCTACACTCGACGCAATTCGACGTAGTAGGTATTGAACGACCTTCTCCAATATCCTTCAATGACTCCGCCGCGCGCCGCCGATAGTCGTTGAGCAAAATCAACCACGTCGATTCAGTCAAGAAAAAACTAAACCTCGAAACTCTCTGTTGGTCCCATCATTTGTTTGTTTTAAGTATCAATACTGTAATGACAGAACACGCGGAGGACTTCTGCTTATCAAAAATTTGCAATTCTCTCAATTATATGTATTTTTCTTTCGCTCGTCTTATTTCTTGCCGCTGCGTAATCACTAACATGCTGCTCAGCGTGTGTTTATGCTGAACATGTTTTCACAAAGATAACGTTTAACTACAAAATACTTATATCAAACCATTCCCTCACCTAATCTACGTTACAGTGCATTGTACCTAGGAAACAACCATCATGTCTTATACAATGTACATATATTTTTTTCTTCTCATCTTTTGAAAAGTAAAATTCAATGCATAGAGAAATGTAAAATTTTGGCCAACAATATGGAGAAATAACTAATTAATGTTGTAGGTACTTTTGTTCATCCTTCTATTGTTTATAAGGAAAATATAGAACTGAGCGAGTTAAACTATACAATAGATTAACTCACTCCATATACGTATAGGAAACGAATTCTAAATTCTTTAAATGTACCAAACGGCATTGTTGGAGTATATTCGTCATTTATTAGGGACAAGTTTACTATAATCAATATTCCTATTACAGGTCGTAGTGGGAATCTGTACAGTCTTGATGTATACTCACGCTTATCGATAAACTTACCTAATAAGTTGGTTTAAAAATAGTCAAACACTTCTACTAATAAGACTTTCAAAGTTACAAATTCAAGATTTTAAAGAGGAAAATCGCCAATTAGTGCTCCCAAAGCTAGAATTTTGACGGAATCATTTTTCAAAAATTCCATTCTTAGTTAGTTCCAATGAAAAGCAAAATATTCGCAAAATGCAACCTCGCTGATTTTATACTTCTGGAAATATCGTGACGAGCGAATCAGGCACTGTTATATCGCTGCCACATGTACAATATAGGTTTTTCGTAGGGCATAGTTGCCGTACAATGTGCGCATAGCCCATAGAATTCCGGGGCAAAATAGAAGCGCACATTGCTTTGTGCATGTAATGGCACTCGCCGTACGAAAAAATAACATTCAGCTTATTTGGTTCTAATGAAGCGGAGACTCGATGACTGGTAACGAGGCATCCCACCGTGTCCTAAGGATCGCTCGTGTATTCATCCGACTGAATCAAAATTGGACTACGTAATAGCTATTGTGTTTCGTTCATTGCAAAGTTTCACGTTCGCAAATGTCGTTTTTCAGAAATCGAATTTAAGAGATTTTTATTTAATGTATTGACCACTTTTAGTGGATGCTTTTAATAGAAAGAACTCAAGCCATCG